AAGATGCAATCATAAAAAAGCATAATATTGAAGCTAATGACAAGACGTGGTTGTTTTTTTTATTAATGTGTATTTGAGTTTATGAGATCACCATACTTGATGGATTAAAATATTTCAGATTTTTGAGGCTATTTTGACTTGTATAGATAGAGGTAGCAGAGATATAAGAACGACTTGGCCTTGTATAGATGTCAGGCATTAATTGTCTTGATAATTGATTGAGTAAGAGGAAGCACAGATGAGAGTAGGGCTTGACCTTGTATAGATGTAGAGATGGTATATTTGAACAGTCTTGTCATTTTAGGAGCTTGTAGGAAGCACAGATAACTTGGCTTGATAGTATTTGGAGAGAACAGCTTGCTTTAGATGAGATAGAACATGAGATGGCAGAGGTAACTAGATAAAGATGAGATGAGTACACAAGTACTGTGGCATGAGTGCGTAACAAACCATTTGGGCAAAGAAAATTGACCATCAATAAAAGGAACCAACACTATATAAACAGGTACCAAGGTGTAAACTTGCTTCATCCATCACAAGATCATCGACACGCTCAAGCCGCCTCCATCTCCGGATCATAGGGTTAAACCCTACTCTCGTCGGCAATAAAGCTTGTGATCATCCCGTAGCATGACCAATGGATTTGTCCCGCAGTCTACCCATGATTATGAAGCGGTGATCCTACTCAGTCCCTACAAAGTAGTTTTTCGGCACTATGTAATCAATAGGTTAGTCAACATGGCTCATACGTCCAACAAGATAATAACTTACTCGCACAGTTCACCAAGGTCTGCATGTATCAAAGATAGTGTGGCCTTTTTCTAGCATGGACCAAGAGACGTAGAGAGGACCATGGATTTGTAAGGCATTGTATGTAGCAGTAGTAGAGGCCAATAGACAGTAGAGTATTTGATTTAGATGACCATATGTAGAGAGAGAGAGCCCAAATGTCTTGTAGAGAGTTTGTATGTATAGAGTATTTTGCTTGTAATAGAGAGATGAGATGAAGAAGAAGAGGGAAAAGCTGTTGAAACAAATCCCTATTTATATCCTTCTCATCGACTTTTGTGTGAGTCCAGTATCCTTGCCACACTCAAACTCGTTTCCTTTTACTTTTCTCCACAATATACTACTTTGAGCGCGTGAAAATAGTACCATTTTGACGCTTGACACTTGCTCTATTTGATCGTTTTTGTCCGAGGCTTTCAACTCTTTTCTGTCTCGAGTTATGTCCATTTTGCTACTTCAAAAAGTCCTTTTTCCACCTTCACATGAAACGAGTTCCCCCATCTCTTCCTAGATGTAATTAACAGACAACTTCTCACGGGCTCAGCCTCATCAAAAAGTAAACAAAAAATGTCATTTGACACTGAAACAAATGCAGCTGGTTGCTTGATTAAGTAATCTTTCTCTACCCCCCCTTAATTTCTCTCTCCAAAATCACACAGTTCCCAATCCATCTCTTCTGTTGTTTGTATTCGCCATAAATTCTCCATCTAATTGGACAATACAGGATGATAAGGTTGGGTTACTTGTTGCTTACATCATCTTGGAGCCAGTGCAATTGATTCTGGATCAAGAGACAAGTGTACACCTCGGAAAGCAAGAGTATCATATGAATATTACTGCGGCTATCTCCATGGAATGGAACATAATGGATTGTTTTCGAACCAGTGCAGGTCATCTTGTTTCCAGCTATCATGGTTGCTGTCAATGATGTCAATCAAGTGTTTGCGCTACTAGATATCATCAATATGCCCACATCTACATAGTGAGTTGGTCATTCTCGTGTATCATTCCTGCAACCTGTTTTTAGTTCTTATGCCAAGAGCATGCATCCCATAAAGAGTCAACACATTTCATATCATTTTTTTTAGGAATCGTCCTCTTTTAGAAGGTACTCGGATCATGCAAGATCAAAATAATTCATTTGCTAAGCAAAAATGAGCTTTAAAAAAATCACATGTAAAGTAAATAAAAGGACATGAATTGAAGAGAGATAAGCAAGTAAATGGCCAATTTGTGGTCAAAGGGAGGATATTTTATTAGAAGGTATGTACATCATTAGAAAGCAAATCGCTTGAGGAATCCAATGGTACTATTTTCAGGGTTCTAAGTAAAGTACACATCGCGAAATTCATCAAACAAGGCCGTGGGATTTCCAAAAGAAAGAGGTTTCTGAATTAAACTTCACCTGCAATATTATTTTTGTCTGTGTGCTATTCTGTTGCTTTGGATCATGTCACGCTCCTCCTATGTCACCAGCCTGTCCTTTTTGGGTCTCATGTTGCGTACACTATCTATTTGGGAAGGAGCCTCACTTTCTCGTATAATTGTTTCTGTAAATATCATTACAGTTATATTATAGGGCTTTGAGGAATTAAGGGGAGTCTTCTAGCCAGCCAAAAAGGATTACAATCCCGCTCGACTTTCTGTCATGGTTCGTTGATTTTGGATCCTTTTGCGATTTGATCGAGTTATTTTAGAAGATTCGACTATGAAAGTTGTTGTGATCATCCTTTACAGCCTTAAGATATCTAGAAGAACTTTTCAATACGCATCCAACTGTGTTGGGTGTAATAGATATTTTGATTGAACTTGTTGAGCAATTTATGAAATTATGAAATGACGTTTTTGGCGAAAATGTCGAGATTTTATATATCAAGGTCTCACAAACATAGTTTCAGAAGTTGCCCTGAATCAAGAATTAATATCATCATAACATAATAAATGTTCAGTCCTTAGACACTTTACAACCCTAATATCGAACCTGAGTTTCAAGGCATCTGTCAGGCCTGGCTCATATGAGAATAATGATTTTACAATCAATCAACAAAAACCACTGTTATTTCTACCCTCTTTCCTCTGCTCAATGCTACCAACGTTTTATTTGAACGACGTCTCAGAGCCTCAGAGATTTCACTACTTACTGCAGACATCTTACGCAGCCCATGAATCGTCAATGTCCAGACTAACGTTATTAAATATAGAATGCAAGACGATGTCATTATGAACGATATAGAATGCAATAAAATACCATTATAAACGATAGCTTTATGGCCTGCCACCTACTTTTCATACGCTTCAAGAGCATTTACTACTGTATTGCAGTAGGAAAAGGGCGTTGAGTTTGCCAGCTGGCCTCACAAGCCAAAATTAATTTAAATCCGGAATCATAGTTTGTTTCAGATTGGACAAATCTTGATGGTTTTGGATTCAGTTAAGCTATTTTTGCAGATTCGACTAAGTAAAATATGATGATCACCCCATGCTTCCTTAAGTGGTCCCTGGTGGTAGGGCGAAGTGGTAGAAACTCCCGTATGCCAACGGGAGGATCCCCGGTTCAAATCCCAGTGAACGCAAGTTGTTTGATTTTTTTTGAGGTAGTACTGATGTCCTCGTTTGGTGTTTTGTACTCTATCCATTATCTATTTTTGACGATTTCCGCAAGATTGCATTGGCTCTAGGTTTCGCACCTTATTAGTAGTAGATTTCTTTCCCAACTTAGTTCAAAATTTCTTATTCCCCTTCATTGCAGACATTGGGTCCACCAACAGTCTTTTCTATCCCTCAGTATGACATTTAAAGGACTTTAAATAAAACCTGGAGCTTGTCTCCCCTACAAAAAAAAATTGCTTCCTTAAGCTTTCCTGGAGTACTTTTCAAGGTGCATCCAATGGTACCAAGTAAAATAGATGATTTGAATAAACTTATCAAATGATTTATGAAAACATGAAAAGAGGTTTCTGGGCAAAATGTCGAAATTTTACATATCAAACTCCCACAAAGATGATTTCAGAGGTCGCTTTGGATCGATAGAAACATTTTGATTCAAGATATACCATAGTAAAAGTCTCCATTTTCAAGGTGAAAAACGCGATCGTTTGATTTTCGATGAAAAAAATTTTTTTTTTGTTTTTTTTTTGTATGGATGTTGCTTTTTTATTAGTAAATATACATTATAATAAGAACATCAAATGATGGACAAGTGTATGTAACAAAGTGACTTGCCATATATAAAATCTATTAAAGCTACTACTAATATTGATGCTTGAGATCTGACAATCTCATCACTTCAGCACTGATCTTGTTGGTGACATTGTTGGTATCAAATGGCACTCCTTCGAATGTTTGTAGGAGGTGGAATCTCCATATCATACGAATGGTGGCAGCAAACAGGTCGAAGATTGTAATCTTGATATCGAGGTTGTAGATGAAATATTGCTTCAGGTTTAAGTTAACTATAGATTGGTATACTTGTTGTGGATTAGCAACCTTGGGGTATCCCAGGAATTGTTCAAAGATGTTGGACCAAATGTCGTTTTTGTGGGGGCAGCTAACCATGAGATGTTTGGCATCTTCAGTATCATTGCAGAGGGTAATTTTCGATGAAAACCATGAGATATCGCTCATGGTTTTTGGTCGAATTTTGACGAACTTGAAAAAAGTGAGGAAAGGTGGCAGAAAGTTGTTGCTAGTGGAGAGCAATCGCCTCGTGCTATTCTGACGGTCTAAATCGGCACCTAACACAAGAAATCACTGCTCAAATGTGCCCGGATTTCGCTGTGCTCTGCACATTTTTGAGTAGTAAAATGCATTGCAAGCATGCTCTCTGCCCGTCCATGAGTTGTTTCTACATATATATACAATCGTAGGCCATTGTTGGAAGGTCAGATCCACAGGTACAGGCCGTTCGTGAAGGATCCTTACGCTGCAGTTGAGAAGTAAAGGTTGAAATTTAGTACATTTTGATAAAATTCTTACAAATGAGTCAAATGCCAAAACCAAATTTTCAATCCATATGTGGTGAATTTGTCTAGTTCGAGTGCTTCTATATTTATATCAAAATCGTTCTTTAAAAACAAAATCAGATTTCTGCATTTTCATGATTTCTGTCAGTTTACGGAAAATAGGATTCGCTTTGATCATGGATGAAAAAAAAGTATAAATAGGCGACATGTTTTGATGTTTCTTCATCACTCTTATAACTAAATATAACAATGGTGTCCTCTACCGCTTCTCTTTTCTTGTTCGCTCTTCTCAGTGTAATGGCTTGCCTCGCAATGGCTGCCCCGGCCACCACTGACAGCCCTGCTGCTACTACTACCTCAGACAAATCTTTTGCTGCTGTTACAGCTACTCCAACTTATGATACAGAGGGTCTTCCTGCTAGCATCTTCCCTGTTCTTACCGCATACCCCGATGAATATGAAAGTACTACTGAGCTGGATGACGGCATCCTTTATTTGAGCGAGCAAGATGAAGGCACCAAGCTCTAATTGCAATGGAATCTTTTACCCATCGCATCATATAAACTGCTTTATAACAAATTGAAATCTAATAAACAATGCTTAATGTAATTGCCTACTATCCATTCTTCCAGTGCACGGGCGAAACTGTCAAGTGTATTTTTAGATATGAATATCTCATAATTTGCCTCAACTGAAATTGACGCAATGTGTCATGACAGGCACATACATTGAGTTTGATTTGCTCAAACTAATGCCAAGCTAAATGTCTATATTTGTACAAATTATAAATGGAACTTTTGATTAGATCAAACCCAGGGAGATGATACAAATGGTCTAGATGGGCCACAGTCAATCCATAGCTTGCCTACAAAGATGCCTCATTTTCCACATCCTCATACAAAATACATTATGGTGCTTGTGGTGTGTAAGCTGAGCCAAGTTGTGAGTATATACTATACATTAACGTTGCATGGATCGATATGAATTTACTGTGAGCATTGCTATACGCAAAGCTTGCCAGGCTCTGCTATGTATTCCCAATGCCAACCTGGACCCGTCCTCTTTTCTCTAGTTGTGCCGTCTTGAACCTCAACATCGTTTCATTGATTTCAGCATCTTATGCAGAAAATGGTCAATCTTTCAACGGATCCATATGCAACACACATAATAGCAATAGTACAAAATGACCTTTCATCGTATGCAACGTACTCTCATTCTTGATCGCATTTTATCACATCTCTATCACCAAAATGCTTTCTCGTGCTTCTGTTTCAATTGCTTTGTTCGCCATCTTGACTTTTTTTGACCTTCTCCGTATCTGGAAAAGAATCCTTGAAGTCAGATTCAACAAGCAAGACTGACGAAGCCGCTTCCAGCCATTCACTTCAAGCATTACCCAAAGCCGTACTGATATAACTCCCTTGAAGGATGACCTTGACTATTTGAGCTTGCAAAACGAAGGCAAGACCATGTAAACAAAGCCTTTCTACTCTGATATGTTTCAAAACGAAATCATGATTTGTATATAAACCCACATTCAACTAATAAAAGCTTTAATTCAACTCAATTGTTACAGTGCTTAATATGTACGTGAGCTCCCAATGAGCGATCATGTACCAGTGATTTGATGCACGAGTAGTGTTTTTTTTTTCGAAAGTGGCAAATAATTCAGATGGGCAATTCACCGAGGTGTATTTATAAATGCATTAGCCATGCTCGAGATGGTATTCAAATCGAATTAATAAATAAATGCTACTAGTCAATACTTTGCCTATATACTACTACGGTATACACATGCCAAGCACCAGGCTAGGTCAAATAATCAGTTTATGACCCGTTGGAAGTGTAAGCATATATATATAAATGAGTCGATGCAATATGAGGCCTATTCATGATGATGGATGGTGATATGTATAATTTGTAAATGTGATAACCTATTGCTGCTGTAACGTCTATATGTGTATTTGTGCTGTCCTTGATACACTGAGACGTTGGACAATGACACAAGGATATTCTTGGTTGCTCTCCTGTTGACCGCCATTTTCGATACTCGAGAAAAATCAAGGCCTTACAAAAATTGGTTCAAGGTGCCGTAATTCGTTGTCGTTGTTCATGTAACATTACATTACTAGGAGTTGCTTTGATCTTTTATATAGCCTCTTCTGTTCTCGACATATACATTTATGAGGCTTTGACAAAGCGATTGGTCTATCCTGAATGCGCTAGAAACACTTGCAGCTCACATCGGTATTGAACCAAGTGATGATGGTCCTTGCGAAAATCAATTTATTGCAACCATCGAGTCAATGTCAGTACTGTACGTGTGAACAAAACCGTTGTCTCTACAATTGCATCTTCAAAAACATCAGCAGTCTGGGCACAAGATGATCCGTTTCGTGTCAAGTATGACTATGAGAGCGTCAAACCTCTGCCTCAATTTTTGAAAATGTACGCAGCATGTAGAACATGGCGAGTTAAAATAGCTTGCAAAATAGCACCCTGTTTCGACCTGGTTTTTAGAGCCGCTTGGGACCATCATAAAGCACTCTTGTGTGTGTAATCCACTCAAATGAGTTTATACGCGAGTACAGATACATGTGTTGTTTATGAAACTAAAAGTTTTCATTCACAAAGTCTGCATATATGCCAATATCATAATGACGGCGACAGATGTTGGATCAGAGCTATTTTAATAATGACATCAGTCATCGGCTTCTTCATATGCTGCCATAGCATTTAGCTCGCAAAAAATTAGTTTAATGCTAGTTTAATGTGTCTGGTGCAATGTATGCACGCTGTTCAAGGATGTCCCTCTTTAGTCAATTGCGGTTTTGTCTTACCGTGTCCCCTCATCACCAATAAAAGCGAATTACATGACAAATCTAGAAATTTCATGATGGACGACCTCATGTGTCTCTGTGTCTCTGTGTGTGTGTGTGTGTGTGTGTGTATGTGCTTATGATGGAAATCGTAGTGTTTGAAAAAAAAAAAAAAGAGCGAATACATGATGTTTATTGTAATATGAAAAAAGATAGTTATATATATATATATATACAGATAGATAAATGGGTGATAAATAGTAACAGAGAATGCTTGCAAATGTAAAAATCATCATTCAACTCTTGTTCGATAGTGTAACAAAGAAATCCAAAAACGTAACGATCGTGAGAAAATAGATATGCTGTTTAATTTGATGAGGATGAGGATGAAGAGGTTGGAATTGGATCCCAAAAGGTAGCTTGCGCTGATTCATCTTCTTCGTAAGACCAGGCAGAAAACTCATCATCTTCAATTCTCATATCATCGAAATTAGGCGCAGGGATGACAATGTGTGGAGGCTTCGATTCACGCTTCAATGGAGCAGTGGGCCGTGTAGGAACCAATTGAATGTGAACTGCTCTTCCCGCCCCTTTTTCATAGTATTGTGATTCATAGAGAATAACTGGTTCTGAACTAGGTTCAAGTGTGGATCCAGAGAATCTTGGAAGAGCAAGCATGATGATTAAGTTTTTGGATTGATTTGAATTGAAAGAGAAGAAGGAAGGAAAATGGGAAACCAAGTATGCGGTATTTATATGGGATTCTCTTTTGTTTGCCCCTTTTTATTCCAATAACATACCATTTTTTTTTTAGTTGGACATTTACGGGAAATGTAATGTATATATAATATCATTTTTATTTACAAATCTCTAATGTGCTCTACTTGAGAGCATTCAGATATATGGTCGCCTCTATATTTTATAATGTAACTTCCACCTGGCTGCTCCACCACAGTTTTATTGACAGGACATCCCTATTATACAGCACATATAAAAAAGTAAGCATGAATTTCATGTGTCAACAAGTCGGAAAAAACGCCATTGGTATCCGACTTTGGCCGATGCTCCTTTAAGCTTTCTGCTTACCTTGCAACTGTTGGCGCATTTGTAATAGACACTTTTGCAGCCTGTCTTTTTTTGTACAGTATTTCCGTTGTTTTTCCAGAAATGACGGTCATCATACGGGAATTCAGTTGTTTCAACTATCTTTGTAATGGCCTGCATTGATCTTCTTCTGCGAGAGATCTTCTGCACTGGTTCTTGAGGTCTACTATAAGCAGGTCATGTGAGATCAGGATTTTGCTGCTCTGGAAAATGGGTCTAATCTAATCTATTACCTATTATATGACATGGAAGCTGTGGGGGAGGGAAATAGATTTGTGTTTGCCGGAGCAGATGTGGAGAGTGATGGTGTGTTTGAACTGCTGATGGAGAGCTGATTCATCGAGAGTAAAGCAGAGGCAGATGAGTTTCTTCTTGACGGAGGTGACATGACAATGGGCCTAGGAATTGCGTACGGAGCAATTCTTCGGTGTATGGATTCCCCCGCATTATTATTACTATTGCTACTTGTACTACTATTGCTGCTAGCTGAAGAGCGCCTACGTCGTTGCTGTAAAATAAAGGCTTCCTGCTGGTGATTCCGATTAGATTTGTAGTGATCTTGTTGATTTTTAAAGTATAGATCGAGCTCTTTCGCTTTCAATTTAGCTTCTTCTGTTCTGCGTTTATCCTCCTCCACTTTACTTGCTAATATGAGTTTCAATAGCTCTGGATTTGCATGATATTTTGATACCACAGATTGAAGATCAGTAGCTGTGGATGATGGTGATGGTGATGTGGATTCTCTATGATAGCTATAACGTAGTAGTCCTGCTGGAGACGATGATGATGTTGCTGGTGGTGATGATGAATATCTCAGTAATCCTGCATCATCGGAAGGACAAGCATTCAGATAGTTTCTACTGCTGCTATTGCTGTTAGAGTACGATTTTGGAGATGTCAATGTTTGAATATTCATAGTCGTATTTTCATGTAAAAGCAAAGAAGAAAGAAAGAAGATGAAAAAATGAGAAAGGAAAGATGAGCATTGTATTTATACATCCTTTTTCATCCAAAAGGAATGCAACATCGGAGAACACAACAACAAGACACAATCTGGGAGAGTGTCAAACATTTCCCAGGGCCAGAACTGACTGGTACCCAGTCAAAAAAAACTTCTAATTTTCTATGCCTACAGTGCGAATTATAGTTTTAATTATTACTAAATCAATACCCAACGGTATAATTCTTTGAGTTACTAGACAAATACGGTCATTCAATCCATCTCATACCGCTACCGTTTACCCCACATTTTCAAAATGGTGGTTTTGTATTCCCAGGAGTCAGCGCCAAGGAGAAGAAAAGATTCAAAAGAGAGCTGCAGAGATCTCTCGTATTGGAAAAAAAAAAGAATTCATTTTTCATTCTGTGGAGGAAAAAAAAAAAAAAAAAAAAAAAAAAAAAGTAGAAACAATCTTTGATTTCAGTCATCCTTGCATTTAAGCTATTTTACCCAAAAGTTATACAAGTGTATTAAAAGGAAACGGTTCTAAGATTATCCCACCAATCCTTTGTTATTCAGTATTTTGCAATTCTTTATTGTGTGCACAAAAAGGCAGGGAATCTACCCTTGCTGAATACCTTAAATAAATATAGGGTTTTTCTATCGTCAAAACTTGGAAAATCAAGCGATTGGTAGAGAATCACCCGATCATTAAAAAAAAACAGAGCTTTTGTTTATGTTAATAGCTTGATGGAATTAAGCATGAACTATCATGAGACTATACTTTACATGCACATGCAACATGCTGGAATGCAATGGCCTTGATCTGATCTATTATGCATTTACGTTTTGAAGACGTCCATAGCGGCTTGCCGACATGTCATCATGGTATTATTAATTCAAGCCTTCAATTTAAGGGGAGCTTCGAATGCATTGATTTTATACCCTTCTTGTATATCGATTATTTGTTCCTTGATCCAGACATCACAATGGTCTTGATTTGCATTGTGGTGATACAAAAAATCACTTTTTTTTTCAACTACAAATCTTTTATGATAAAGAATGATCTTTTATTTGTTTATCTTGCATCATAAACTGGACTGATTCTATATAGGTAATTAGAAAGATGGAAACCAAGTAAAAAATCTTGGAAATTAAAGGGAAACCGGGAAATCATGGTAAAGGGGTTCGATTAGGCTTATTGTAGATCTTGTTTTCTACTGAACATTTCAAAAGAGTTTAAATTTTAGATTCCCGCACTTTGCCTTTAGCTACAATGCAGCAAAAAGAAAAATGTTGCATTACAGAGTTTAAATGGAATGTTTGAGATAACATTCAATTAAGGCAACTAGTAGATATTAATTTTGTATCAATACTATGATTGTGTGTGTGTGTGTGTGTGTGTGTGTGTACGTGTGAGGGATACTCGCATAAATATTATTTCTTGGCTATTTGCACGAGCTTTTCGTGTAATGTACATGTAATCCCGGAAAATGATAATACGCCATGTATCTATCAAATTAGAAGCAATGCTTGACTTTTTTTAGTCGAATAGCCCAGTGCCACAAGTTTACATAACGAATCAATTGATTATGATTAGTCTCAGTCGTTATCCCGCCATTGAATCTAGAGTATTGCGGTTACATTTACACTATAAGCTTGATTACGTAACATGGAGTTTAATGGTTGTGCGAAAAAACACAAATCTATTGTTGGTTCATGTAACATAAGATTGGCAAGCTATTAAGTGCTGAAGCTCCAATAATTGTACACTATGTCGCTTTGACATTCGATGTATTAGCAACAGACAAATACTTCAAATGAGGCATTTCTTCTCAGTGCTCATGAATCGAGATGGACTAAACGCCATCATGATTGAACGTTCAGCCGTATTTTCTGACCTGATGACACTTTGAACCATGCTAATTTCGTCTTGCAGCGCCAATTTTGCCAAAAAAAAAATAACAGTAGACATCGGATGCATAATCTGGAGCTTTTGACAATGCTTATGCTGTGCCTTCTAAAAACATATAGATTGTGCGCCTCCTGTCCACATTTCATGACGATTTTAAGAGTTTTAGGTCCATCCGCTCAGAAAAAAAAAACAGAGAAGTATGATTGATTTTTACATGCGCTTTGTTTTTTGAAAAGCGTGCGATGTCATACATTTCATCTGCTGGATCATCGATGGTCTTCAGGAAAACAGCATCATTGATTGATGCGGCCAGCTGTCAGGATCAATTAAATCTCAGACTAGCATTTTTGCCTTTATTTGTTAATTTTTGATCAATTTTGAAAACGATAATGCAGAACCTGACATTATCAAGATACTACATTTGCAACCTGGACCTCAAGATCAACATCTTCGACTTTTTTGCCACCATAATCCGAATAATCTGGACCCACCATTTCTTCGTACACTACCGTGGTATCCCTTTTGAGCCCCAAACAGTTGTTAGCAATATCAACAGAGAACTGGATAAGCTGTCCAAAATGGATAGTATTGATTTATAAGACCTCATAAGATACAATATGGCAAGTCACTTTACCTAGTATACACTTGATCCATTTATACAATGATTTTATTAACTATTTATTCATAACTACTTAATAAAACTTTCATTCCATACAAAAAAAAAAAAAAATTGAAAACGATTCGACCTGTTTTGTACGATTCGACTATGTAAGTCGTACAATTACGTTATATGCCCTTAAGCTCACTTGAAGTACCTTTCAAGGCGGATCCAATGGTACTAATTACAACAGATGTTTTGGCTGAGCATATTGAGCATTTTTTGAAAATATGAAATATCGATTTGGGCAAAAATGTCAAGATTTTACATATGAAGGTGTGACAAAAACGATGCTAGGGGCTGCATTGGGTCGACAGAAACATTTTCATTTAATACATGTCATAATAAAAGTCTTCATTTTCATGGTAAAAAACGCGATCGTTTGTTTTTTAATGAACAGCATGAGGGGTACCTCATGCTTTTTGGTCGAATCTTGACGATCTCAAAAAAGTTGAGTAATAGTATCAGGCAGCTTCTGCTAGACGACAGCAGTTGTTTGGCGCTACTCTGACTATCTAAAACGGTTTCTAACATGAGAAAACACGACTCAAATGCACCAATTTTTGCTGTGTTTTGTAGGTTTTCAAGTGCTAAGAGGTGCTTCGACTATGCTGTTTGCCATTGTATGAGTTGTTACGACAGACGTGAAGTACTGTAAAAGAGTCAGATCCACAGCAACACGGCGTTTCTATAAGACTCTTTTGTGTTAATAAAAGAAATATTGAATATATTGTACAAGCTCACTCTAGACTATCAACTGTCTCTTTGCCTTTTATGGTTGGCACGTACATGTTTATTTAAAGAGGCCCATGAAACATTGGTTTTGAGTAAGGGGTTATTTGCAAGCACAAATTGAATGGACTATATATGAATAATGCACTGAATGTACCAGGTCTTTTCATAAATCAGTTAGCCCTGGCAGCATTGCGACGTCTTCTTCTTCTCTCAGCTCTGGTTGTCTTCTCGTTTCTTCCTTCTTTTTGTTCAGCTTCCTTGGTTCTGGCTTTCTGAGCAATAGCATAATACTTTTTGAAAAACTGCTTAGCATCGATGTTGTTTTCCTTGGCATTGAGAGTCAAAGAGCCTTCAATATCATCCAGTCTCTCGGTGAGCCACTTCATGTTTTCATACACAACTGCTTGTCTCATATTTCTCTTGTAAATGGTTGGATTGAACGTGCAATTGATGGATTCTAAAAACTGGAATGACCAATGCAAATGGGCCTTTCTAGTCTTGGTACCAAGCGGGAGAGAGCCTGCTTCGAGATATTGGAGCTGCAAGGGCAATGCTGTTTCAATGCTGTGTTTAGACTTCTTGCGAGCAATGTCTGTAGCCTGGGCCTCCTCCATGCACTGAAAAGCAGCGTATGGCATGGCAGCAGCAATCAAGTTGAGATGGATCTTTTTGTTTGAAAAATCATACTTGGAGCCTTTTTGAGATATGATGTCGGACTGCACCAACTGTTGGATTGTCTTGACGCCTTTTACAGCCTCACCACTGCAAGGTACCTGGATAGTCTTGTTGATCTTTCCTGCGTTTGTGCCTTGAATAGAACCAATAATGGCAAGCTTGCGTAAAGCATCCTTTCCAACTAACTTAATGGCTTCTTGAATAAGCGATCCTTGATGAATACGTCTAACAGCAACACGACTAGCCAAAGCTACTGCCTGCTTGGAGTTGTAGCGAGACAATAATGAGTCATAGGCTTCAATCAAATAGTCAAAGTAACCTAAATCTTCCTCAATAACGTCCACTTCATCATCGCCGCCTGTCTCTTCCTCTTCAAGGTCATCTTTGGACACATAGATGGAGCTCTCCTCACTTTGATCTTTGTCACTGGTATCATATTCTACACTACCGTCTTCTTCATCTTCAATGCTACTCTCATTATCCTTGCGTACAATAATGTATTCATCACTGTTATTGCTTGAATCATCATGGCATCGAGTTGTTGAATAAACGAATTCGTTTAAAGACTTCGTAGTTTGCGACATGCTGGAAGAGAGTTTGCTAATGAGCGCTCGCTTAACAGATGGTGAATGAAAGGAGAAAAAGTTGAGAGAAAGAGGAAGAGGAAGAAAAATGCAAGAAACAAACGCAGTTTATTATATGGAAAATTCTCACAGCAAGGTGATTGCGTCTTTCAAGGATATAAAATCGTAAGCTCTCATAGCTCACAGCAAGACCAAATGCACGAATCATTAAACGTCATCCTGAAGAGCTTACACTCAATCATGGGCCTTGTGATACTTTGTTTGATATGATATAGTATACAGATAAAGAGAGGTTCTGAAACGAGACACGAGTAACAGTAGTGAATCTCGTAGCTGATGCATTGTTGTGTAATCTTGTCATACACACAATCTTCTACAAGCAAGAGTTCATTGATCTGGGCCTAAATCACTATACGCCGCCACTGATGAAAAGTGCTTTAAACAGGATACAGTGTTGTATTAATGAGGATAGAGATGACTGCAAAGGTAATACACATTCAATTAAGAGTCATCAAAGGACAACCTGCTTAAAGAAGCCGATTATTGCAACTGCAACGTTGAGCATCTCAGTGGCTGCTGTTGCAATTTATCCAATGTTCACAAATCTTCACAATCATAATATAATAAATTTATAGTCCCTAGACATTTTTACAACACTAATTTAAAAACTGGGTTGCCAGACAGGGTTTATATATGATTAGAAGTTTTATATTTAATTACTATCAATCAACAATCAAGTTTCTTCCAACATTTTAGCTATAGTAGTAATTTTGCATAGCTAAAGGCTCGCGATAGTGCAAGCCACATGAACATAGGTTGGTTTCCATCAAAGCAAAGCATAGGCCAGGAAACCAACCGAAGAGTCGAAATGCTCATCGTAGCGTATGATCCCTACTACTAGACACTTTCAAAGACTCAAAAAGGAAAGAAGTTGATCTAACAAGCATGTTGATAGACTGGCTTTATTAAATATGAAATTCAAGGAAAATAGCATGATTAACGATATGCTATCTAATTTGCCACCAACTTTCCATACGCTTCAAAAGCATCCATTACTGTATTGACTTCATGATTAAAAGGGCACTGCGTTTGCCAGCCAACCCCACCAGCCACCAAAATCAATTTCAACTCAGACTCTTATTCCTCTTCAGATTGGCCAAATTTTGATAGTTTTTCGAGTTGATAAATCTATTTTGCCAAATTTGACTATAAAAATATGATGGCCATTCCACGCCTCTTTAAGCTTCCCAACTTCCTTTCCGTAACTTATTCCCCATCATGACTGACATTGGGTCCACCAACAGTCTTTCCTATCACTCAGTATGACATTTAAAGGACTTCAAATAAAACCTGGAGCTCGTCTCCCCTACAAAAAAAAGCCTCTTTAAGCTTTCTTGGAGTGCTTTTCAAGGCGCATCCAGTGGTACCAAGTAAGGTGGATGTTTTGAATAAACTTATTGAATAGTTTACGATAATATGAAAACAGGTTTCTGGCCAAAATGTCGAAATTTTACATATCAAGGTTCCACAAAGATGGTTTTAGGGGTTACGTTAGATCGATGGAAACATTTTGATCTAATATATATATCATAGTAGAAGTCTTCATTATCAAGGTGAAAAACGCAATCGTTTGATTTTCAATGAAAACCATGAGGGGTACCTCATGCTTTTTGGTCGATTTTTGGCCATGTTTTTTGGTCTTCAAAAAGTTGAGCAAAAGTGTCTAAAAGCAACTGCCAGACGAGAGCAATTGTTTGGTGCTATTCTGACCATCTAAAACGGTCTTGAACACAAGAAAACGCAGCTCAAATGCACTCATATTTTGTTATATTAAGCACACTCTTGACTAAAAAGGGATAATATCTGTATGATACTTGCCCATATATGAAGTAAATACGTGTATATGGATGTAGAGCATCTTATAAGAATCAGATCCACAGATAATATGAAAGATTTTCACGTATAAGTGGAGGGTCAAAATGAAAGTAGCAGTATTTTGACAAGATACGCAAGAGCAATCAGTAGCACGAGCTGCCGCTGCGCAGGTTGGTTCTCACCGAAGCAAAGCGAAGATAGAGAGCCATTCGAAGCATAAACACTCGTATAACATAGTAATGTTTGATCTGGTTTAAGCAAATTTGTATGAAGTAATGCCATGTAGACGTCCATGTTACTTGCGCTGGTATAGTCCAGCTTTCGTACTTGAAAGTGCTACATCTGCAGAATATCTGATCCAAAGAGAAACAGGCACAATTTGTAGTAACATGCGGACCGGACTCATAATCCTTTTCAAATAGATTTACCACTCTTTGGTAAAGCAATAAAAATGCTCTTTGTATTCCACTTAAACCTTCGCAGCACAGAAGCACACCACCAGAAAGTAACATGTCGGTTGATAATTTCAAGACAAACATCTACGAGTATCTTGAGACCTTACCGACGTTTACGTTCATGCGTCTGTTTGAGAAACCAGCAACATGCTTGGCCATTTTTAGGTATTGTGTGTCTGTCAAAACGACGTGGTAGCCATTTTGATTTAACATGCCTTCAAAGACTCTTGCCAAGCTTAGGAAGACAGATTGTCATGTCGCTGCTGTACGTACAAGCACCCATGCCATTGAATGATCTGCACACATGGGTCAATAAAGACGGGCAAAAGTAAGTGAAGAGAGAGAGAGAGAGAGGCATCACACAACGCGCGTGCGTAGTTTGGCTCATAAAGTTTTCGATTTTGAATTGATAGGAAGCTTCAAGAGTCATTGCTCAAGCTATCAAGACTTCGCATTCTCGAGCAAAACGACACCAATCTAATGATGAACAATACGTTTCGAATCGAGTTCCAGAATGCATTGACTGGAGGGTAAATGGACAGTCTTCGTAATGGATGTATAGATGTTAATCGTATGCTTATAGAGGAGTACAGCAGTCGTTTGGTTTACCTTGTTCGACGCCAGATAAGCATGCAGTGGATATTGGATTTCTGGACCATTATGCGACAACACAATGGGAGGCCATTCTGCATTATATGGTAGGCACTTCGCTGACGAAAAAGCCTAGTCGTGGTGTGTTGAATCTGTTGGAGAGAAGCAAATTGATGCAGAGCAGGTAAAAAGAGAGAGATAAACAAAGTGAACTGCTGTTGCGATTGCTACGGAGTCATTAATAAGCATCTAGTTCTGAGACAGGCCAGCTACAGATCACAAACAAAGGCTTCCAATTTTTACTTCAAGATGTCAATACACAAGTGTGGGCATTTTTGCTGCAGTATTTAGATATGGCAGAGGTATATACATTATCAGGCATGAAGATGGCTTAGAAGATTAATGGGGTAGTAGGTTCTGCAAATGGATTTAGTAGAAGTGCTGAATTTCTTGTTTCAGCTTGGATCATTAGAATTGGGAGAGGTAGGGCATTTTCTGACGATAAGGATATCAGCAACAGCCACTGACTGATTCGCCTAGAACTACTCGGTTGAGACCTTGACACAAACTCAACTTCAAATGCTAGAGGATTTACGTGATTACGGCATTGTATACCAGAGAAAGAAGGCATCAAAACGATACTACCCTACTCGATTAGCCACTACATTGACATCCGGGAACGCTGCGTTGGCGGGAGCAGCAAGTAAACCGAGTACGACAGATGGGGCTACTAATACAGCTGAGGCCAAAACGGCCACAGAGCAAATCGATCAAGGGTTTGTCATTCTGGAAACCAATTACAAACTATACGCATATACAGGTATACTTGCTCTGTTGAGCATATCATTGCTATACAGACAGCTAATGCGTCTCTTTAGATTCACCACTTCAAATTGCCGTGCTGAATTTGTTTGTGCAACTGCAATCTCGATTTAGAAACATGGTGACAGGAGTTATCACAAGAGACAGCATTCGCAATGCGTTAATGAAGGGCATCACTGCTGAACAGATTATTTACTATATGCAATCTCATGCTCACGTTCAAATGAGAAAAAAGGTGTGTTTGAGGATCGTTTCCACTACAGTATAAAATGCTCACAATGACTGCATAGATACCTGTGTTGCCCTTGACTGTCATAGATCAAATTAGACTGTGGGAAATGGAGAGAAACAGACTGAAGCCTACTCCTTGTAAGTGTAGTTGTTGATATCAATGACGTGTTGCCTGTACTCACTCGATTCTGCTAGCGTATCTGTATCACGAATTCAATGTGCAAGCCGATTTTGATGCAGCAGAGAAGTATGCAAAAGATTTGGGTGTATTACTGTGGTCAAGCTCGCAAAAGCGCACCATGATCATCTCAGAAGCGTAAGTCTATTCTGAATATCAATGTACAATTGGCTTAACCGTCTTTATATAGTGGCCACGATAATGTCAAGGGCTTTGTCAAGAGAAGATTACAAAGAAACTAACCTCATATCTATGTATTTGCATTCCCTCAACACCATCAAATTGTAAATAAAAATAGGCACGCATTTCATAGTAAGATATTTATTTGGTATAAGAGCAAGCAATCCAAAGGGTATTTCTTGTGTTGAACGAAGCTAGCAAATCCATGTGGACTTAATCATCCCAAGGAAATTTGTTGGGAGTAAATGGCTTGGAATCAGCGGGTGTAGCATCACCCCAGCCTTCTCCTTCAGATTCCCTCTTCTCTTCTTCTGCCTCAGAAATGTCCTCAGCCCGGCCAGTTAAAGGGGTCTTTCGAGACACAGACTGATGTTGTTGCTCTTGAGGAACATCATCTGCCCAATCTCCTACACCGATATCCTGACTCCAGTCGTCAGGTGTGTCTTGGATGTCATAGCGAAATTCACCTTTGCGAGTAGCTGAAAACTCAGAGGCATCCCAGTTGATACGCTTATGCATTGGCTCGTATGGATGGGCTTGTTGTTGTTGGCCGTCTTCACTCTCCTCCTCCTCTTGATTGTCAGAATGAAAGAACATGTCTGGTAAGACATCCCAAGGCACAGTGTAGCTCAAAATGCCACGAAGTCGAAGAATAGCACGACTCAAGAACCAGCACATGAGGCCCAAGGATTGAGCACCCATATTATTACAGGGAATAGCGAGATCTACATACTTGAGAGAGCAGTGTGTATTGGCAAAGGCAACAACAGGTATGTTGCACTTGCTGCTTTCTTGTACAGCTTGGGAATCAGTCATTGGATCCATGCAAACCAAGATGGATGGCTCTTCCAAGGTGTTGGTAAATGTACCAGGCACAAACTTGTCTTGGTTGGTCTTGCCACCAATGTATTGGGCGAGTTTGATAGCTGGACGACGAGTCTTTGCAGTAGAGAATGTGATATAGATGGTCTCTGAATCAGTGATAGCAAGCGCGCGAGCTGCCAAAATGAGCTTCTCCCACGTCTTACCGAGGTGAATGATTTGGAGACCATTTGTACTGCGAGTAAACACATAGGGCTTCATACGAGTTGATACATTCTTGGTACCCAAGTGGCACTTGGCAGCTAACATTAAAGCAACATCGTTTTCTGTGGGCTCAAGGACTATAAAAAAAAAGACAATTTACCGTTGAGTGCCATGTAAGTTTCAGCTAGATTAGACACTGCTTACTAGATGGTACTTTGGATTCCTCAAAGATGTTCATTATGTGAGGACTGATGTGATGAAGTACAATGAAAAGTAGAAAAATCAAGCCTTCACTCTCATCACTTATAATACAGTCGACTCAATCTATCACATCGCCATCCCCCCCCCATCTCTGGTTTTTTCATAGTGCAATTGATATATTGTAAATGACTGAAACACACACACACACACTCTCTCTCTCTCTCTCTGCGACATTTGCTTAGCTTTTTGTAGTATTTTTGGTGCTTTAATGGTTTAAATTAAAGTAGGAAAATAATGAAACCATCCAACTTAGAATCTAAGCTTGCTGAAGAACCACTTGTTCTTACCAGTTTGGTAACGTTCTTCGAAGAGCTTCTTGATGACCTTCTTGGAATCTTCACGCTGAGTAGGCTCCTTGAAAGTTTCGGCAGAGACGGTACCCTTGATTTGTTCCAATTCCAAACCATAACTAAAATGAATGTTTGTTAATCACGCTGCCATCTGTCAAATCGAAATCTCCATGCTTACCGAGTGGGCATCATGTGGTTGTAATTGACAATCTTGACGAAAGGCTTAACCTTGGAGCGCTTGGCAGTCTTCTTCTTACCCATGGCCTTGGTGACCTTGAGAGGAGAACGTTCGACACCAGCAACAACGGCGTAACCATAAGGTCTGTCCTTGGTACCTTCATCGTGGTCTAATTGTATATCTTGAGTGTTGACAATTCAATAATAACATATCCTATACATACTACGGACAACAACGGCCTTCTTGCCAGCATAACGGCCTTGGAGGATCACAACGACCTATTGTTGAATTCGATTTTTAGCAACTCGTCTCCAAAACTTCAATCCATCCAGCAGTATCCCTCTTCATCTGCATCTATCTATCTATCTATCGAGCATCCATCCGTCTATGCTCCTCTCCTTGTTGATGTATCGTTGATGGATTCTTTACCTTTCCGGCTTTAATGAATTTAACCATGCTGAATAAGTGGAATATAAGAGAAGGAAATTACACTTTTCCCCGTTTGCACGTTCCTCATTACTCTGCTCCCTCCCTTCCATCCCATCCTGCCCCCCTCTCTTTTTCCTCAAACCGCCTTGACCGCACCATCTTCTCCACCATTTCGATGACCGATGCCGAATCTGATGCTTGAGTACTTGCCAATCATATTTACTCAAATCGTGCTATCATTCAAATCTCAATGTCCAACCCGTCAATCATAGCTAGCCTTTAAAACAGGGTTGGCATTCTACGCTCCTGTTCGAAATGTAAAGATGCTTAGGGATCTTGACCAATATCAAAAGATAACGTTACAACGCAAGCCTCTCTTTGAGGGTTGTCTCAAACTCTTTGAACTAATGCTTATTTCACATCTTCAATCGAGATAACCTTAAACGCAATGCTTTTCAAATGTAGTTGACGACACGACACATCTCACTTCACTATGGCCAGCCGTTACTCTTAAAAAGGTGCTTGAACATATAATGGTGCTGATACCATGCGTAACCTCAACATAGAGTGGGATAGTAGCTTATTTATAATCAAGTACACTTTACATATAGCTTTTATCATACAATCATCTGAATTCTTGAAACTAGAGGAAGTTAGCAAGTGCAAGTGCTATTTTACAGCTGCAGTTGTTCTATCGAGTTAGTGAAAATCAAGTAACACTAGAAAAGCCTTCTGAATTTTGCAGCATACTAAATTGCCCTATTTCAACTTATTCAGATGTAAAGGTACGATGGATCACCGGTAGAAATTGAGAAAATCAATAAATTAAATCTACTGATGAAATACCACCAATACACATATTACCGAGAATGCAGCGTAACAACATATTTATGTATACTTCATTAAGTCAATATTCAAGGGTTAATGAAGAATATTATAGTCTACTATCTGCCGAACAAGCGATTTGCATATTACAGTATTACCTTCATAATTTAAATCATAAATTAGTATCAATGATGGATATCGAATCTGAATGGGAGGCTAATAACATGAAATATAAACCTTTGCATGGTCATTGATAAATCATGTGAAAAAACTTCCCTCAAATTCTTCAATCAACTTGTTATATCAAATGTCCTAGCAGGACCACACACTAAAGGTTTTTTTTTTTGAGCTATTCTTAGGCTCTTTGAGTAAACCAGGCTAATCATGATTACAAATCACTTGCTGGGTAGATAGTAAATCTATTTGCCTTATAGTTCACTATCATGCTGTAGATCCTAGTGTAATGAAAAGTATTATATAAAATGAATCAATACAATTGTAATTTTTTGGCAGATTCAATTTTATATTGTATTTGACATGACAATATGATATATGCAAAAGAAATTAATAGCATCTCAGATAAATAATGATCTTTATTTTTTTAAAATTGATTTAGCATGTATAATAATTGAAAAGGTATACATAGACCATTAAACCAAAGCTCCTTGTCTTATTTCACATTTACATGATCATTTATAAAGACGAAACGCAGATATCTTTTCACTGTAACTTTTGAGCATACAGCTTATACACAATCATGTTTGTTTCTCGATATTTTGAGGGCTTTCAATGATAAGTACTAAATCTCTATCAATTTACCTGTAGCAGTAATCATTGTGTAGATCAAAAAAATGGCTATCATTAGAAGTTTTACTTAAAGCTGTAGCATTAGTTCTCTTGGATCTACCGCTGCGCCTAATATTAGGAGATCATCTCCTGCTGCCAAATTGCATAAAAATGAGGCTTTTGCTATAGAGGTGCTATAAAACTCCTCGTGCGCCAACATTAGTCAGTTCACGCCCTAAATGTATTTCATAAACTTGAGCGCCACTTGGGCGTTTCTGTGCTTATATATAAAAAAGCGTTTTTGCTACTGTAAATTCCAATTTGAGGGTTGAAGAACAGAGTTTGGAAGGAAATATCATCGTACGTGCCCAAACGAGGTCTCATTCTATAGAGCAAACACAGGGGATCTAAATTTAATTAATAGAGAAGAATCCTGGTTGAATTGGCAGTTGTAATAACAATGGCATTGAAGCAACACTGCTTTTTTATATTGATTTACTTTACAGCTTCCTCTCGCACTAATTTATTTGACAACTAATGTAGCGACTGAGAGTTCTTTTCTAGGCTCTGCAGCCCCTCAAAATGAGCATATAATTCCCACAAAAAGAAGTTTTCTTCAGCATCAACATAAGACGTGAAGAAGCTGTTTCCCTCCCCCCTCCCCCTTCTTGGTGAGATGCGCATCATAATTTAACACCTCTGTCAAACCACAACAACGAAGCTAGCTATAACAAAGCGGCTTCAATACAGCATTTCTCAACATTGCATCCATTGATCTATTACTCGTAATCACTTGTAATTAACAGGTTTTCATAGGAACATGCTACTTTCAAAGCTCTAGCATCAATATTTCCAAATTCCATTTTGGATGGCCTCAGCCTCGAAATCGAAATCATTTTTGTTAGGGTGTCTTTCTATCGCAGGTAGTATCCCAACATCAAAGCCGCAAATGATACTACTGTAACTGTCTAAGAGATTCATTGGGCTCATACAACCAATTTCTCTGTAAGGAGAATGTGAAATCAAATAAATCTATAATAGCCGTATGCATTTACAGCCGACGAAAAAAAGGTATACTGCTACTCCTTAAAACATACAATGTTGCATTATAGTTTTCAACAATTAGAAAGATTGTCTGGTGATGGGTTTCCAGAATAATACTGATGTAGCAGCAACGCAAACACTGCGTTGAAGTAGTATTATTATAATAATATAATTTTTCTTGTATAAATATACTAGCCGATCTATCTCGCTACGCTCGATGACGGCGTCGCCCTGCGGGCTTTGGCCGATTACAATAAAACTGGTTAAATCAATAGTTATAAAGGGTAAAAAAGAATATAGAGTAGTTATATTAGGTAGTATCTGAAAATAGAACTTCAGGATACACCACATTTTCTGTGTGTTTCATATTTTCGGGTAATAAAATGGTCATGCCATTGGCAGATGTTGCTCTTGACATGGCAACATAGAGTTGGCCATGAGTAAATACGGGACTCCTGAGGTCCACGGCAACTTTTCTGAGAGATTGACCCTGCGACTTGTTGATGGTCATTGCGAAAGATACTTTAACCGGGAATTGCTTTCTGGTCAAAATGAATGGCAATGTGCCAGGCAATGTAGACAAAGTAAAGCGAGGAATCAACTCGACAGCACCTGACCCTCCGAGGATTTTCACCTTGAGGACATACTGTCCAATTTGCTGAATGATCAGCCTTGTGCCATTGCACAAACCTCTTTCAGGGTTGAGGTTTCTCAAGAGCATGACAGGAAGACCTACTTTCAACTCCAAAACTGCTGGCGGCAGCCCTGAAGGCGAAAGGGTTTGCAAATACTCTGAGGGATAGGCTTGGGTCTCCGTGTTGGTCAGATCAGACTGAGCTGTGTCAGCAGAGTACAGAGTGACCTTTTCCCCAATCACGTTCTCCATCACCTTGCTGTTAATAGCATCAACGTTGACGTTCTTTGAACAGAGAATAGCTCTTTCCTTGAAGAAATCACTATTTTGCAGAGGACACTGCAGAACATGCTGAGGATAGATATCTTCAATGAACTGATCAAGATCAGTCATCTGCCTCAAAAAAGAGGGCAAAGCAATGCTGCCAATCATGGATGGTTCATACGACATTTTTCCTATCCAATCTGCAAATTGCCTATCTGTGTCATTGGAGTTGGCAAGTCTCATATTCTCAGCCAGGCTCAGCTTTTGTAATTTGGGCCATAATCTTGACGATTTCAGTGAGGCATTGACGATTTCAGGACGGCCACCTTGCCTAACAACAGGTGGAATTTGAGCAAAATCACCGCCAAGAACAACAGGAATACCACCAAAGGTAACTTCATCACCACGACTACAAATATCACGAAGTGTTCGATCAAAAGCTTCAAAGCAATATCGATGCTGCATTGGCACTTCATCCCAAATTATCAATGATGTCTCTCGAATGAGATCAGCAAGATCATCGTTTT